AAGATATAGGAATGTCTATCAAAAGGGGAAAAAAGGAAATATGATGACAATTATACAAATATGAACATAGTACTGACATGTTGTACAGGGAGCACAGGGATAATTATAGAGCACTAGAACCCATGAAAACGGAAAGTTTCAAAAAAAATAATAATGTCTTGTTTTTTCTTCTTAAATTTATAAGCTACCACCTGATATACTTTTTCCCCTCAGGCAAGTATCAAAATCTTTGCAAGTTTCACTGCCTCAATGTAATACACTAAATCACATGCAACAAAAAAAGAGAAAACCCCAGGTCATTTCAAAATTGACAGGAAGTAATTTATTTAGAAGATTGAATTTAAAAATCATTTAAATGAAAATTTTGCAATTCAAAAGGTTGGTAGTACAATTGAGTTTTCCTAATATATTTAGTAAATTTTCAATATTTTAAGGGAAAACCTAAGAAAATGTCTTGGAAATGCCTGAGGAAGAAAGAATGCATTAAAATGTACTGCATTACATTATACTATTTTTGTTAAACTTAAAGTTTTTCATAGTAATTACTCAACAATGATAACATTTACATACTCATATAAATCAAGTTAAAGATAAGGGTAACTGATTTTAAAGTTATTAAACCAGAGAAGTTTTTTTTTTTTTAATCAGAGCAATAAACAGGAGATCCTTACACACTAAAAGGATACATTTACATGGACCGCCAATCAAAATTATTGTGTAGTATATAGCAAAACCTTATTTCCGAGTTTCTGGAAAATGTGTTTCATAAATTCAAATAGCCAATATAAATCAGAGATGGTTGAGAATTAAATGTACATTATAAAAGTACTAATTTTAAATAAATTTCTCATTCCTTAAACAAGATTACAAATCATAGACTAGAACTTTAAATTTTATTTTTATTTTAGAGAAAAACAGTTTATAGATATTGATTTAAAGTGTTCACATATAGAATGCACTTCTTATATGGCACTAGAAACACTTTCAGTACAAGCTACAATATCACATTTGAAGATAAATCCATGAGGTGTAATTTTTAAAACCCTGTATGATGATTTGCAAATTTAGGATATCAGATATGTGGCATGCAAATCATTATTCTTGAATGCTCTGTATTCATTCATAAAAGACTCCTAAACAAAGGAGTCGGAATTTGGTTCACAGTTTATAAACTTTGCACAAGTTTTGTTATGATAACCTGTTACCTACAGAGGAAGTTATCCATAAACAAAAACAATCTGGTATTTACTAATTTTACACAATCCACTGTAAAACTTCCTGGTCTAAGGCTTTAGCCAACTGGGATTTCATATGAACCCCATAACCAGAGATAGTGAACAATGATAAATTAACAGTATCAGAGAAAGCAGATGACATAAAAAGAGTTAACACTCAGCATATATCATTAAAAACTTTTTTCTTTTCTTTTTTTTTTTTTTTACCTTGTACAAGTGATCTAGTGATCTAAATCATGGAATCTCAAATCTATCTATGGTTGTTGTCAAATTCATTAGTTAAAAATGCAACCCAGTGTAGAAAAGACACTTTTCTGTTAATTTTAAAGACATTTATGGCTTACTATTTCTTAAACAAATTATTTACCCAAATAAATTCTTGCAGTCATTTGCTGGTTCCTATGACTATTTATTGACAATTAATTCAAAATTACATAAATGTGTAAATCACCAGCAAGTAAATCTTGTTTTAAAAATCATTGATAAATGTAGCAATTATAAAAAATGTAAGAGTCTCACTTGCATCTCTGGTTTAAAGTCTAATTAGTGATTTGTACTGAACCAATATTTTCTATAAATACAAAATCTAAATTTGTTTTCTTAAGTCTATATGGTTTATGAGGTTATAGATACCTTTACAAATTTTGTTCAGAAATTGAATTTTAGAAGACATGCTTCTAAATACAAAATGTATTTTATGAATTATCTTAAGCATAAAAAACCACAAATATCCACTTTTATCATTCAAGAACAAATTACTATAATGTATTATAAAATATTTCCTAATGAAAATGCAAAAATTTTAATTTACCTAACCTGTTACTTCACACTGTAGTTGGAATCAATTTTATAAGGGCGAAATTTTGATTTACTCTGACATTAGGCAACATGGTTTAATTCAAAAAGTCAAAAAAATTATTGAGGTTAATATTTCCAATTCAAACAGTATTTCGCTGGATTTCAGTTCTTCTAGAGATCTGAAATAAATAAATGTTTTCTCAACTTTGCTTTAAGATGTTTAAAAGGGTTTCAAGTATTCTACAGATACAGACTTTAGAGAACACTGGATTCTTAAAAAAAAAAAAACAACAAAAACAGCTTTTTTGGGGGGAGGATTTACTCCTTTGCAGGGTCTTGAGGACTTTTTTTTTTTTTGTCCAAAATCTCATTTTCACCTGCAATAATTGTATTCAGGTTTTCTGAGCAGGTAAAGTATACATTCTTACAAGGTTTCAAATTTCAGAATTCCAATAATGCATTTAAACTGAGCACCCACTGAATCACGTTCTCTTCTCTTTGTTTGGTGTGTGTGTGTGTGTGTATCCATTATCTTGCAGTTCTGATATTTATATTAAATTTTAGTCTTTTTAGCTCCCCAGAAACACCTTAGTGAACCCTTAGCAATTGCTAACCACTTAATAATTGTGAACCCGCGAGCCCCTTCCAGTACGTCGTTAACCACAGAGTGCCTGACAATTTCCAAATCCTACCCTCTGTCCAAAAGGAAAAGATAGGGCTTTGTGAGGCCGAAAGGAAGCGAAGGAAAACAAAACAAATGTAGCTCATGCTGAAAGTGAAAAGTGCTTGGACAGATTAGTATTTTCTTTTCTGCAAGGCGCCCTGCCAGACTTTTTTTTTTTTTTTTTTTTTAAATAGAGAAGAATTATTTTTTTGGTCTGATTTTTCAGTTTCTTGGAAAGTGTTGGTCTTTCCCACCCCCACCGGCCCCTCCTAATTACGGTTGGTTGTTTTGTGTTTTTCCCACCCGGCCACATCACAGCCTGCTGGTCCCCCCGCCTCACTCTGTCAAAACCCCAACTCTGGGCGACCCTGGGTTTGGAAACTCCGCGGACTCCCGACGACACATCCCACTCTCCCTCTCACGCCTCGTATTTTAGTTGCAAGATCCCTCCCTCACTCCAGTTGCAGCGAAAGCCGGAAACTTTCTTTTAACCGCCCCCCCCCCGCCGCCCTCTCGCCCCCCACTCGGAGCCGAGAGTTGGGGAGTGGAGACCCGGAGCACAGCCGGGGCTCGCCGCCTCCCCTCTCCGGAAGGCTTTAATTTGCACCCTTGCTTGCCACGGCGCAGCGAGCCCCTAGCCCCGTCGCCGCCTCCGGGTGGGTCTCGGGCAGAGTCCGCCCCGCGGGGGGGGCCGCCCCCGCCCCGGCTCGCCCCCAGCCCCGGCCCGCGCCCCGCAGCCCCCGGCCGCCCCCAGCGTGCGGCGCGGGCGGCGCCCTCCGCCGTCCCTCCCTCCGCCCTCCGCCGCTGTGCCCACCCCTTCGCGGGAGAGAGCGCTGCTAACTCCTTCCTCCGAGCGGGTTACCTGCTCGGCGCGCGGTGGACACGTGCGAAGGTCGGACAGACACTCGCGGCCCTCTCCGGAGGCCCGACGCGGCCGGGCCCCTCAGGTGAGGAGCAGTGCGGTCGGGTGGGTGGGCTGCGGGGTGGGGGGTCCCCGGGGGAGATTTGGGAGCGTGGCCGGGGTCGGAAGCGGGGGTGTGGGTGGAGGTGACCGTGGTGGGGGGTGTACGTCTTCGGAATCGGCTGTAGTTAACCCCTTACGACCCGAGGCGGGCTAGGGATGGGGACCAGTCCTGGGGAGTTAGAGGAGTCTCTCCTAACCGGGCAAGGGAAGGACATCCCATACCAGGGACACCCCCCAACACCAAGATCCGGTGCTGCCCCCACGCAGCCGTGCGCACAAACACCCACGCACTCATCAGGCTCCTTAAAGCGGAATATAAACTCCACTCGGACCCTCAGAGGATCATCTACCCTTTAGAGTCTAAAATGCACCGCCTCTGGGGGGACTCCATGCGGGACGTTGTGCTTCCGTGCCCCACATTGGTTTCCCCGCTGAAGCTCACTCTCCAGCTCGCGGAGGTGTGGGTGTGGCCTGCACCTTCTCCACCTCGAGATCAATGTTAACGCGGGTTCTTGCTGGAACCCCCTCCCCTGCGGGGGTGTTCTGCACACTTAACAGGAGTGCACGCAGGCGGCCAGTGCACGGGCTTGGAGCCCCACAAGGACGCACGCTGGCGTTTAGTTTCCCAGTTTACTTTTATTAATTTGAAGTATCCGAGTTAGAACGCACACCCCGCGGTGAGCAGCGCCGGGCCCCGCAGCGCGCCCCACAGTGTGCACGTGGGGCTCATCTGCGGGTGCGCACACGCGGGAGTCGTGGTCCCCGTGCGGCCTCTTGCCGCTGCGCTGGTGGCGACCCTTGCGGTGCTTGGCAGGCTTCGGGAGAGGCACATGAAGGATTTCATTGAGTGTGAAGACAGAGAGCAGAGACAGAAAGCAGAAGGAGGCGGCTGCAGCCTTTGTAGTCGCGGAGGAATGCGGAAATGTTGAAGCACTATGTCAAACTTTTTTGAAATGGGGTCAAGTCACATTCAGCCAGCGTGGGAAAGCAACAACAACAACAAAAAAAAGTGGAGGAGAGGGGGGGAAAAGGCACTGTTGCTCCCGTTTCTCTCCGCCGGAGCCGACCGTCCGGGGAGCGGGGGGGAGGGGGGGAGCCTGGGCGGGCGGTGCGGGGCCGGGCGGGGGCAGCGGGCGCAGCTCCCTGCGGGGGTGGGACGTCCGCGGCGCTGCCGGAGCTGCCGAGCCTCGGGTCGGACTGCGGCGGGGAGGGGGATGCGGGAGGGGCGGGCGGCGCGGCCGGCGGCCCCGCGGCTACCTGTGTGGCCCTAGGCCTGGCTCGGACCCCCGCGCAGGCTCTTGGGGGGCTCAGTCCTTTCTCCCCCGGGATTCGCCTTTACCTTTTAAGGAGAGCTTTGAATGGAGTGTGAGGGGCTCTGCGCTCGCTGCGGTCCCCTCTGCCAGCACGCCGTGGGGATCGCGCCATTTGTTTAACTCCTGGCAGGAGGCGAGCGGGCCAGCGGTGCGGGGCAGGTAATTCCGAGGTGTCCCGGGAATTCCAGACACGCGGCCGGCGTGGCCAACGTACCGCCGAGGCCGCGGCGGTCCCGGGTTACAACCGAATGGGGAGGGGAAAGCGTGTCCCTACCCCACCCCCCCCACCCCCGCACTGCGTTGCGCGGAGGGCTCCGAGGGGGTCGGGGGGCGCGTTTGGCCCCTGATAAGACCAGGCCTCAGGCGGAGGGAGGAATGGAACAGCCGCCTCTGCGACTTAAGACCCAGAAGATCTGGAGAAGTTCCAGGGAGCGGGGAGAGGTTCGGGAGTCCCGGCCCCTAGGGCGCAGCCCCTTCTCTCTCACCCCCGAGGCTTGGCATTTACTCCTCCCACCCCCAACCTTTTTAAGAGGAGGTTGGGTTTGGATGAGGTTGAAATGAGCTGAGAATTTCAGGGCGAGTCGCGGTTATGCTACCTTCCTCCCGCAGTTATTCTCTCAGGAGATGACAAGCTAAAGTGCGACGAAAAACCCTTTCTCCCACCCTTAGGGTCCTTTGGGCGACTCCCCCCTCTGGGGCCCCACCGTTCCTCCGCTCCCGAGTAGCGGGAGCCCCAGCCCTCCCCGACCTCATGGGTTTCCACCAGGGAGGTCCTCCGAGTCGGAGGAAGAATTTCGTTTCCAGTCCAGACTTCTTTACCCCAAAAACACCATTTGTGTGTGCAAGTCGTTTTTAAATGTCTCCTCGCAGAAAAACTGAAAGTAGAAAGAAAGGAAGCAATTTCCCAGCAGATGTCTGACCACCCCTCCTCGCACACTCCCAGCATCGGGTTACAGGGTCCCGGGAGCCCCCACCCACATTCGGCAGCCCCACACGGGTGGACCCACAGCCCCTCCACAGCAGCTTGTGCACAGCCCCTGAAAGCCCCACGGCACCCCGGAGCCCCTCTCCCTGCACGTCCAGGCCCGGGGGGGCGGGGTGGGTAGCAGTGCCACACAATGATGTAGGGATAAATATTAAGCCGTGACATTGACGTGCCCGGCACCTCCCCTCCCCCGCGCTCCCGGCACACTCTGGGCTGCTCGGCACGCCCCCTCCCGTCCCACTGCGTCCCGCGCCGCGCGCTCATCCCCGAGGGGCCCCTGCAACCTCTCTGCGCGAAGACGGCTCCAGCTCTGCAGGGAAAGAAAAGTAACTTCGCTTTTCTCGGAGGAACCAGGAAGGATTAAGCAGCCTGGGAGAGGGCAGGAGCGCGCCGAGGGTAGCGATGGGGGCTTTATGGAGTAGGAGGAGGGGAGTCTGCGGGAACTCGGAGGAAGGCGCCCGGGATGTCTGATTGCACTTTTTCTTGCCCTCCCGTCTCTTCTTTTAGGTGGAAGGCTTGTGGACTGAGACGCGCAGGGCTGGAGACTATGTAATCGCTTCGGTGTCTGTGCAGAGGACTGCGCTTCGGGGAGGGAAGAGGAGGGATCGGCTCGCTCCTTGGCGACTCGGCAGGCGGAGTTTCGCGGCGGCACCGGGGTTGCGCCCGCCCGCGGGGAGGTCGCTCCATCCAGCCCCAGCGGCCGCGAGAACCCGAGCGCCGAGCGCGGTAGTCGGCGGGGGCGAGGGCGAGGGCGAGGGCGAGGGCGAGCGAGACCGAGCTCCGGGGCGCGAGGGAGCGGGCCCGGGAGTCCCGGAGCAGGCGAGCGGCGGCCGCGAGCGAGCCGAGCGCGCCCCCCGCCCGCCCCAGCGGTGCCGCGCCGGGCGGCGTCCGGGCGGCATGGAGAAGGACGGCCTGAGCCGCGCGGACCAGCAGTACGAGTGCGTGGCGGAGATCGGGGAGGGTGCCTACGGGAAGGTGTTCAAGGCCCGGGACCTGAAGAACGGAGGCCGTTTCGTGGCGCTGAAGCGCGTGCGGGTGCAGACGGGCGAGGAGGGCATGCCGCTCTCCACCATCCGCGAGGTGGCGGTGCTGAGGCACCTGGAGACCTTCGAGCACCCCAACGTGGTCAGGTGAGCGGGGGAGCGGCGCCCGCGCCGTCGGAGGCCGCGCGTGCCCGGGGAGGACCCGGGAGCCGCGGGAGCCGCGGGGCGCGGGGGGCGGGGGGGGGGGCGGCCGGGGAGGCGCGGCCCGACCCGCTGCCCTCACCCAGCGAGAGAAAGTTTTGTCGACAGAGCCGCAGGCCGGAGCCGGCGACCTTGCCAGACAGCGAGCAGAAAGACGAGTCAGGAAATGTGACCTGCGCAGGCTTCCCCGCCGCGGTGCAAGTTCTGTTTTCTCCCTGCTGTCCCCGCGGGGGGGGGGGGGGGGGTCCGGGAACTTGGGAGCCTTGTAGGGAACGAGCCGACCTGAGACGTGCCCGGCCAGCCCCCTCATACTTTCCCTGGCCACTGGGGAATTTTTGAAAGGCTGAGAATCAAGAGAAGTGGCAGGAGGTGAGGAAAACTGGTAGGATGAGACCTTTCCTCGTGGAGCCTGGTATAAATAAAGTCCGAAAAACGTGGGGACGTAAGACTGTTATTGCCAATGACGACGTTTTTCTTGCTGAAGTTCTAGAATGATAAATAAGCGTCAAACAGGGTCGCCTACAAAGTTTCTGCCACAAATGTTGCCGGTTTGTGTACGACTTTACGTCTCCGAGGTGCATAGTTTTCAGAAGCGGTGATGTGTGAGTCTAAGATGTGGAGTCTTCAGATTCTAAGTGTTCTCCGTTTGCTTTTTCTGGAGGGGATGTGGAAAGTGGATGAAAAGACCGCATTTCTTAAAGCCTCCCCTGTGTGGTAACCAGTAATTAAACTAAAGTGTGTGTGACTAGGATAATGGTGTTTTCTTAGTGATCCTGGAATTTCCCCATTGTGTGGTTGACATTGTGTGGTGTGTCATGCTTTTCTTTTCTAAACAAATATACGTACTTTTAAGTAGAAGAGGAATGCACAGAAACTTCTGCCAGTTCTGGTGTGATTTTACTTATCTCAACTCTTAAGATAGTGTGTTTGAAAAAGGAAATCTTGAGGTGTTCTTTCTGTCTTCTCATCTCTCTGAGGAGTCTGTTCCAACACATGCCTACTGTGTGCGCTGTAGATGAAAGTATGTTAATAAGCACAGCTAAATATTTTTGTAAAAAGTCAAACAATTTAACATTAGTCATCAAAGTCAAGAGACCCAACACTGACCTTTGAAATACCGAGACCTCTGGAGACACAGAGCCCAAATGTCTTACCAGATCTTCCTGGGAGGTTTTGACTTGTCTCCCCTTATCCTGTGTGATTTGTGTGGTGCTTTGTTCCCAACACAGTGAGACTAGGCTAGAAGGCTGCAAAGAATCACAAATACATAAATAAGGTAGTGAATAGCTATGAAAATAGGACCCCCAGTATATACTTCTGCTTTAGCCAGTAAAAGACCGGGGACGAAGGATAATGAGGCCAGGAGAATGAGTGTTTTAAGGAAGATGGAATTAAACATAAGAGCAGTAGATAACGTTTTGTGTGTGTTTTCTTTGTTGAAAACCAAGAAAAGCTCTTCCTGCGAGCCTTTGTGATAATTGGAGGGAAAAGGAGAGAGTACATTTGGGCCCCTGTAACTTAGTCATCTTCCTGGAGGAATCACCTAGGTGCTTCCCAAAGGATAAATTCCACTCCTAGAATTTCAGGAGTGTGTCCAATTAAGGACCATTACATGTAAATAAATTTTAAAAAAACACTGTCCTTCCAACATAGAGATGTTACAGAGGCACCCCTGTGTAATACTATTTTTTACAAGGACTATCTCTATAACAGGATGGTTTTTGCCGTTGTGTTTGATTTTGGCTAATCCATCCTTATACTCTTGATTTATCCTCTTGAAATTGGTTTGTCTTTAGAGATTTCTAACGGACCCATGACTTGGATTCTGTACTGAGAAATTTCAGGAGACCACTTATAAATTCAAGACAAAGTTATCTAAAGGTTTTTTAAAGAGCTTATTTTTATGGGTTAAGTGGTAATGATGGTGCCTACCTCTCAGGAGTTGTGAGGAAAAGCTGAGACAGAGTATATGAGAGTACTTTGTAATTTTAAAAATGCTTCAAATGTCCAAGTATTATATGTTTCCATGCTGACTCGTGGGGCTCTCGCCTCCAAACAAGCTCCTAGTAAAGCATCAGTTCCCCTGACCTTTTCTATAAAACAAATCATACTCAAACCCAGACGTTACAGGCTCTGGAACCAAGAAGGTACTTGGGTGTAATGAGCCTGTGGTTTGTCAGAAAAGACCATCAGTCATATGCCATGAAATTCAGTGACACTTGAGAAGAGTATTGATGATGTCATCTTCATGAGCTATGTATCTCCATTCCATTTGGTTTCTTTCCTGTTTATTTTCTTCAGCCTCTGCTTTGGGGCACTCATTGGTCCCCATGACCTGCTTGACTAGACTAAGAATTCAGGATTTTGAAGGTTGCTAATATTTGTTCAGAGAGGGTCAGAATCAAGGATAGGTGACAATGCTTCTTTTCTTTCCAAGGGAGAGTTGTCACAGTTGGACACCCCCCATACCTGTGACGTATTGGTGTTGTGCCCCACAGGACCAGTTTTACAGCACTGTGGCTGGTTCTCTAAAGGCTTCTTAAAAGGACAGATGTCTTTGTAAGTGCCTTCAAGTCATAAGTAATTGATCATAATTATAGGCCCTTCCCACAGGTAGTTAAGCCTCTAAGCTTGCAGGAGCATAATAAACATATTAGTTTTTTCAAAAGTTTAAGATTTAATTTTGATGGATTTGCCAGAGAGGCTGACTTGTTATTGCTGGCACTGGCATCGCCTGTATGCACAGGGGTAATGACTTGAAATTCTTGTTTACCCGTGCTTGATGTATCCCAGGCCTGGGCTTGATCAGCCAGTCAATGTCTAGCATGTAAATTTACTTTTATTTTACAGTTGGTAATCCCCAATCCTAGAACCTTTGCCAGAATCCGACTTCTGTGTGAACCTATATTGGAGCTTCTGCACTCCACAAAGGAATCCTGTTTTAGCTTCTGAACTCAATATATATATATATATATATATATATATATATATATATATATATATATAATAAAATGTTTTATCAGCATCCTGTTGATTGACCAAATATTTAATGATGGCTTATTATGTACCAGACCCTGCTAGGAACTGGGGATTCGTCAATGAACAAGTCAGAAAAAGTCTCCATACTTGTAGAACTTACTTTGTAATAAGATGAGTAGTTCTTTCTTCTCTTTAAAAATTCACTTCTCTTTATTTCCATGGGCTTGATGTGCTATGTTTAGCCTAACTAGTTTTATGGAGCAACTAGTATTTATGATAATTTAGTTACCAGGGATTTGCTGATTAAGTAAGATAACCAAAACACTAATCAGAGTCAAATGCTTTTTGAAGCATTAGGGAGAGACATACAAATAGATTTCTACATGATGATACTGACGTGTAACTAATAGATACGAACATTTGGGCTTTGCATATTTAAGAAGGCTTTAGGAAGGACCTACTTTTTAAAAACTGTGGAGTTAGGTTCTGGGAAAGATACTTGGGTAAATTACACCTACTTCCCTCAAGTAGTTCCCCCCCACTGTGTTTGAATGAATAAGATGATCACTGAACCTTGATAGGTGACAGTGTTGTATCATTACAAAGATACCCAACGTTGTCCCCAGGGATTAGATTTATTAGTGTAATTCAAATCAAGTACTGGTTCAGAAATTAAAACGAATGGCATTTCTAAGTAAGTTAAACTTATGATATCTAAATATGTTAAATTATTGTTGGCATATTTAATCACTGCTTTAAAAAAGAAAACAACCAAAAAAAAAAATCCACGCAGCTCAATGATTATTATTCAAGGAGAGTTTTCCAGATTTTTATTTTTAAAGATCTCAGTAACATTTAACATAAAAAGAATATAAAAATATTATTTTCTCTAGGAAAACCGAATCATGGCATATTATTTGAGGTAGCATAAAGCTGAATCCTTAGGTGGGTTTGCTCATGGGAATCCTGAATAAAAGTATTATTTTGTGGGTGAAGGATATGTTCATTAGGACTTGTTTTAGTGAAAGCAGGAAAAACGGGGGTTTAATTTTCTTTTTTTAAGTTTCGGTATGTTACAAGTATGCTTGGCCCTTCATTCTCTAAGAGTTCCTTGAGAAGTTTCCAGTTTATCAAGGTTCTTTAATACATTTTCACAATTATGTTCTGCCCATTCTTTGTTCCTGCTGAAGAACTAGGTAAAGCTAAATTGTTGGCATTGCACTTGAATCCTTTTACATAATTGTTATCACCCTGGAATTCTTAGAATGTCTCTATTAAGGAAGAAATGGCTTATAGAAGGGAAACTTGTATAAACTTGAACATTGGTGTATTTCCCTATGTTTAAGACACGGACAAGTGAATATCAATGAAAACAGACTCTGTTAAGAGGAAGTTATCTGTTGTGGTTTTTTTTTTTTTTTTTTTAACACCTCACTATCAGTGATTCCTAGGGAATGTTCTTTCAGATTGAAATATCTGATGGTTACATATGTCATTTCAGACTCCTGGGCATTAGAGTTGGAAAGACTTTGGAAGTCTTTTAGCCCTTTTATGTTATACGTAAAGATATAAAGTTTAGAGGTCAAGCAACGTGTCTGTCATGCCATTTTTAAGTTATTTGTTCTAAAATCTGAGTAGCAGTTTTTTAAAAAATTCTTTTTGTTTGTTTGATGGAAGAAGTTAAAGTGAATACCTTTCTAGTTTGGGAAAAATGAACTATGCGTAGACAAAGATGATGGCTTGCCAGGAATAAGTGACATACCACTTCAGGAAATTCCTGAAATCTGTGGTATTCCCTGCTGAAGTTTATCTGTAAAAAGTGTGATGATTATCCATTAAGTTAAAAAAAAATTATCCATTCAGTTCTGCCTTGGAAGAATTGGAATAATAACTATGATCACAAACAGCTATGGTTAAAAAATAATATGTTAATATACTTAAATAAGTAATAATAGTGAATTCATTTT